GGGGGGGGAGCTAATCCGGGCCGGCGGGCGGCCGCAAAACTGATCACTCTAGTCACTACACAAGTCACTTAAGTATCGGATCGTCCGTGTGGGGAGACTTGTGTGACTTACTCCCTATCCTCGCAGCACGAGCCGGTCCCACGAAAATTTTTCTGTGACTAAAGTGACTAGATCCTTCGCCTCGGGACGTCGAGAGAAAGAAGCGATTTATTTTTCTCGCGACGCCGCGCGCCCCTCTATCATCGCCGTTGGAAAGTCGGTAAGTCAATATCCTGAGGAAGCAGACGTTTGGACGAATGAGGGAAAGAAAAGAGGCCTGGCGCTCCGCCAGCGGCTGTCCCTACACTGCATACAGGGGCTTTATCGTTATAATGACAACGCGAGCGGGCGCTACAGGTTATAGTCTGTGCCGCCTTATTAAACCTCATAATCGCCAAGTGGAACGTTTTTGGCGGCTCGCTGCGGGAGCGGGGCGCGGGGCTGGACGCTTCTGAGGGGCCGACGTGCCCCACCAGGCCACCGGCAAAACACAATTAGTCTCAATTACCGCGCAGTGAAATGAGAGTTTAGGGTTAGGACATGGACCGGACAAGACGAGTTCGGCGTGAACCTGCAAGTGAATGATTATTATTTTTAATAAGCGCAAATGTCCGACCAATGTCTCTTACGGTCGGCGGCATTTGAGAAAACAACGTCACTGCAAAAAGCACTCGGAAATCACTCGAAACTCGACACAAAAAATAAAATAAAAGCCATCCCTTTAACGAGCCTTAGCGAACGGCACAGCCTGCTCAGGCCTACCTCCTTCGAGAGGGCAACAACCCCAACCGGTACCGAGACACTTCAGAACATGAGCGGCCACTCCCAAGGATAGAACCTGGAAACATGGACGCCACCGGCTCAGTCAGCATCGAGTTTGCGGCCAATTGCGGATGGTTTACTTTCAAACCGATACCGATAAGAAGTTAAACAATTCGGGTACTTCCACATAGTAATAGCTATGCATCGAGAAACGACCCCATCTCACACCCAACGTGAGACGCGACTGAGAATGAAAACAAGATTAAAGTCGAATGGTTACTGCACGTAAATTAATTGCAAAGGAGCCGTTCGACTCGCTGTGCCCTGCCCCGCTCTGCTCACCAGTAGGGTGTCTGGTACGTGCGCACGCCCCGCCGGGTGTCGGAGTAGGCCTTGCGGATCTGCTCCTCGGTGCGGCTGTCCTGCAGGTGCCTCATGGACTCCATGATGAGCTCGTTGGCGATGGCGCGCCGGGACTTGGCGCGGTAGGAGCTGCTCTCCAGGTCGGTGGTGGCCATGATCCTCCTCGGGTTGAGGTCTAGCAGAGCTTCCTCGGTGCGGCGGCGGAGGTCGGCGAGCTCCTTCTCCTTGAGGTACTTGTCGGCGTGGCGCTCCTCGTACGACGAGTGACCCAGCACCTTCTTGGTCAGGGAGGTGGCGACTTCGACTTGCTTGGCGAGCGAGAACGGCGACCGCGGGTGGAAGATGGGGCCTTCCTTGGTCTCTCGCAGCGACTCCTGGGCTCTGAGCTGCGCTTCTACTGCGAGCTGCTCTGCTCTCCCGGCGCTGTACGTCTTGATGCCCTGCTGCGATGGGTCGTACTTTTTAAGCCCGCGCTCGTTGAGCCAGGGTAGGTGGGGGGGTGGACGGGGTCGCAGTCCGCGGTCACGGTCGTCCAACCAGTCGATCATGGGCTGGTAAAAGTTCATGCCGAAGCTGTAGTTGTTGTCATAGTATTTGGTGGCGGGCTTCTGCCAGCGGGGGATCGGCATGCTGAGCTCGCGCTGTCGAGGCATGCTGGGGCCGGGGGGGTCAAGGGACGAACGGGGGTCGCAGGCACACACAGGCACTCCAGGCAAATCAGAAGTTTCGGAATGAAGTTTTCGGCGGCGGCGAAGTTCGAAGGCGGTAGGCTGGTCGTGCAGCTGCTCGCTGGTGCTGCGGACGGCTGCTCGCTGACGGGATGGTGGGCCTACACTGAGGCTGCGCTGGGCCCGTAGGCCGGGGGTGCGGCGCGCCGCGGGGGAGAGGGCGCGGGGGGCGCGGCCTAAGGGGTGGCGGGGCGGGGCGTACGCGCCACCGCTGGCACAGCCTACCGCTCGGTCTGGCCAATCGACCTTGGGGTCGGCCGGGACCGTCCTAAGCCTATACGTCATAGAGAAGAATAGGAGGCTGGGGGGATGAGTGCGGGCGGTGCGGGTGGGGAGGCAGAGACACGGCGCGCCGGGGGGTTTATTCTTAGGCGAGCATTCCCTGCGGTGATTCCCCGTGGCTGCGGTGCACCGCAACGTCTGTTGTGTCCGGCGGGGGCAGGAGTCAAGAGTCAAGGTGCGCCCCCCCCCCCCCCACTCGCCCCCTATCCCCACCCTCCGCCAGGTGGGCAGCTGCATCATCCCCCCGCAATCGAACCATCTACACCAATCGCTGACACTGCCAGGTGATGAGGAGGGGGCGGTAGGCGTCTCATATCATCGCCCACGTGTGCGCGGGTAAGGAGGGGAGGGCGGACGGACGGACAGACAGACATTAAAAGTGTGCCTTCTTGCAAGCACCTAAGCAACTGCTTCGGCAGTGTCACACACCATCTCGATGGGGAGAGTGTACCATAAAGTACATGATAACTGTTTGGGATCAAACCCGAAGTTGAACAAGTTTTTGCGTTCAACTAGTGTTGAACACGTCCAAGTATTAAAATATGTGCAGACAGACTTGCTGACTTATTGGTTTTCATCCGTGTTGGCTGCATCGCACTAAGTATTGAGTGGGAATCAGAGTAGGGTGAGGAGGCAAGGATGTGGCGTGAGACCGTGGGAAACCACGCATCCCTTAACTACAAAGCGTTTATTCAACAATTGTATTCTAAGCATTCCGAGCAAAAACCGTAAGTCCTTTGCAAATTGCAAAGCTTTTTCAAAGCGCGACAACAACAATCGAAGCAGGCCATAGGAAGGTTATTGTGGTCCACAGACCCCTTCCTCTATTGTGATTTTACTGTACCGGATGCGGCGTGCGTGCGGGTTGCATACTCACACGGCGCCATAAGTCTGTCTGTCTGTCTGTCTGTCTGTCTCTCCCCCGCGCGCGCGCGCGCTTGCTCGCCCAAGCAGACTCATTAATTAATCGGATACTTAAATCAAGGTTAATGAATATGCGTGCATCGCGCATGCAACACTTTCATCATCGACTGAATCATAGCAAAGCCTCGGCATAAGTGTAAAGTCGCAGTTCATGAAGGGCAAGCGTCATTTTCACGCTGCTTCACGCAGCCACGCAGCCAAAGAAGGACAGAAGTTCATCTCGCTGAGAGTAAAAATCACGCCTGACTTGCTAATCCCCGTCAAGAGACAGCAGAGTTCCCAGCCAAATATTGTTTGTTTGTTTGTTTAAAAAAATCTAATCGTATACAAAAAACACATTGTCTGAAAATGTTCCGAAATGTGCTGTCACGTTAAAATTTAATTCTCATTCCTGAGTGATCCTCGTAGGTATCCACCCAACGACACACCGCAGGGCAGGGTCTGCTTGTAATAAGAAGTTCAGGGTGATGCTTTTTCACATGGCCGACGGTGTGTGATGGCCACATCTCGTTCCTCTGCATCTCTATCCCTCTCTCTCTCTCTCTCTCTCTCTCTCTCTCAGTCCACCCCACTAGTCCACCCACGCCCTGCCTCCTGCACTGCCAAGGAGGCGATGTGTCGTCTCGGATTTGCCGGACCAGAGAAGTGGCGACGAAGTCTCGTGTTATTCGCACATGCATCTCGCGCCTCCGCCCCGCGCCGGGCCGCCCCACCCACCGCGCACTGCACGCGGGTGCTCCCCGCCCCGCC